AGATTATTCATGAAAATATTGAAATTATAAGTTACAATCTTTCAAGAGTCTAGATATCTTTTTAAACAAAATTAATGTTTTAAAATAGTTTCTCTAGAATAGTAAATCATTAATTTTATAACTTGTTTGTATAAATATCCCAAACATTAGAATACTATGATAATAAACCGGTTTTTGTATTATTACAATATACTATGTTATAGATAGGTTTACTCTAAAAATAATAATATGTTTGGTTTTAAACATATTTATCCTGAATGGAGATGTTCAATATATTTTATACTCTCTAATTATCAAACATCAGCTATGAAAATTAATCAATGGAAATGATAGAGGGTACTGTTGCACAGTTGGTGGCTCAAGCAAATGATATATTTTTTGTTTAATGTGTGAAAAGTCACATATTATGAAATTATATGGTATAAGGTTATAATAATGTTTTGTGGAGAAATAAAAATATTGACCGGAGTAATGTATAATAAATAAGAATATTGACTAATTTATTGTTAGAGAAATATAAGGTAAGTTATATGATATAATGTTATTGTACAATATTGTTAGAGAAATATAAGGAAAGATAAAAAAAAAATGTTAGTATAATGAAAGGGTCCAAACAACTTTTTTAAGTAGATTTATTTAGACTCCTTCTCTTTTAATAGTATAGANTAATGTATAATAAATAAGAATATTGACTAATTTATTGTTAGAGAAATATAAGGTAAGTTATATGATATAATGTTATTGTACAATATTGTTAGAGAAATATAAGGAAAGATAAAAAAAAAATGTTAGTATAATGAAAGGGTCCAAACAACTTTTTTAAGTAGATTTATTTAGACTCCTTCTCTTTTAATAGTATAGATAAAACAATTGGTTTATAACGAATATTTCTTCTGATTACGTCACCGTTACTTGCCGTTTTTTTTTAACATGTATTGAGTAACCGACTCGGCCCGGTTTAGTCTACTAATTAGCAACATTTATTACATACCAAAGAACGCTTCAATCAAACCAAACCAAACCAAACCGATATTTATCCATTTCAATTGAGAGTTAGTTTAATTGAAGAGTGTTTTCGATGCTTAACTGCTAGAAGCTGTTAATTCTAAACCAGATTTATAGATGATGTTTCCATTGGTTTCATACTAATCTGAATGCGTTTTTATTTGTACTAATAGAAGGACAAGATGGCAAATCAAATGTTTAGTTTTGTATAAAGACCAGAGCTTATTCGCGAATCTGATACAACATCACGTTGATCTCTGAATAAGAAGCTGAGAAGCGTCATCATTTTCAACATTATTGAGCTTAAAAGACTTGATTCTAGTTAACTAAGAACTTTTGGACATATAGGTTTGTTATGTTAAGACATTGGGATGGAGTCCATCTTATTAATATTCAACACAAAACTGAAGATCATTATTAGTGAGAAAATGAGTCACAGAGGAGACAGTAAAAACGTGTGCAACAATAAGAACTTTTTTACAATAGTTTTAGTCATCAATTTTAGCATAAATGTATTTTAAAATTTAGAGTAACCTATATGAAGTTTAAGACTTATTTAATGCAATAATGGTCTTTCTTTCTAATGTAATATTTTCTTAAAAATTAGTTGCTTCCAGTTGAATTGAATATATTTTCAAACATGATCACATAGATTAATTACTTAAGTAGATTGAGGATGTTAACGCTGAGAATATATGTATCGCATTAGTCTAAAAATGCCCTTCTTGAAACATAAGAAATTTATAGTTGATTTTTGTTAAAAAATAAATAGATGTATTATCATAATCTTCCTATTATTAGAACCTTTTAATTCAATAAAATCGATTAGAAAAATAGGCGATAATATATGAATGAACATGTCCTTGTTTTAATCAGGTGAGAGAGCTGGAGTTTAAAAAAAAATTATGTTTGATATTCATTCCTTTTTTTTTTCAATACAAATATAATTTAAGAAAGAAGAGATCTAATTTTCAATCCAGTTCTCTTTTATGTGTTGTGTTTTTTCTTAACCCATTTCTTTGATATTCAACTTGAATTTATAGATTCGAAATTCATATGAGTTGCAACAAGGAAAAAAGGTCATGTACTCAATTCTTCTTCTATCTGGCTTCGCTGAGAGTTTCATGAAACATGTACTAACTTTGGGCAATCCAAAAAAAAAAATCGAAAAAGAAAGAAAAGTGCAAATGAAAATATTTAATAAATTGTGTAAATCATTATCATGATCTATAATCAAAGACTGTTAAATGCTCTTGAGAAGACCATTTTCACTAATCAATGTTGATAACTAGTAAAATGTAATGAAAGTTAAGGATGACTAAATATAATTTTATAAGCTTTGATTGGTAAAATAAATTATTAGTGTTAAGTTTAAGGGAAGAATCTAACTCATTAATAGCTCATGGATGTTATCAATTATGAATTAAATTGAAAATGAATCTTTTATTGAGTTATAATGAATAATAGTTGATTTAGAATCTTGAGTTATGTCATTTGTAAAATTGCTTACTAAAAGAATAATGTAAAAATGATGATTTAGAAGCTGAATCGGCACTTTCTCAGTTCTCTTTCTGTTTTTTTTTTCAATTTTAATAATTAGGTATTTCTAAAAATTACTTAGTAAACTAATTACATTTTGAACAATTCTGTTTTTAATAATAAATAATTCTATTTTATGTTTTGACAACTCAGTTTTTTATATGGAGAATTTATAATATGCAAAAAGATCTTCCAGATAAAAATGAGTTTACTTAATAATGGTTCATCTTCTGTCCATTCACTGATAGAGGAATATCCAGTGCTGTCAACAAGTTACCAAATCTACGTTACATTTGGGTCCGTGGTTATCAAAAGTTTGAGAGAAGTCGCATCATGAATCTTCTAGAATGGAAAATCGATGCATGCCCTTTATTTATTTATTTTGGAAAACCAGTAAATAAAAGACTAAGATCAAGCACTTTAACAACATCAACAACAATTATTTGAAGTGTCTCTTTGTTCAAAATCTGAAATAAAAGACATCAGCTAGAGTTAATCTCTTTTTCAAGATATATACATAACTTGCAAAACTATTTGAACTCACAAGCTCATATAATGAAGCTTCCAATGAGACCAATGATTAATAATCATACTTTTGAAACTCTTTTCAAATAATAAAACCAATCAAGGATTGATAAATATTTACGAGGTTCTTAGAAATATTTCAATTAAGATTTCCTTGCTCTTTTCCTTTTTTCATTTATTTTTTTATTAGTGAAAAGTATCACTATAGTCCAAATTTTCATTTGAAGAAAGATAACAATAATGGATGTAAAAAAAGACAAAACGTTGAGCCATCCACATCTTACCACATCTTTTATTTATCGTACTGTCCCAGTAGTGTTTACATGTCTCATCAAGTAGGTCTTGGATGAATCGGATATCCAAAATATTTTAAGATATCTGGATCTTCATCCGATGGATCCATGTTTTAATTATCTTTATTTTTCGGATATTCTTCTAAAGGTTGTAATATTCAACAAATATTTAGATCTGAATTCTTAAAATAATAAATATATAATATTAACAATAATTTATAAATAAAATTATATATAAAGTTTTTAATTATTTCTTTTATACTATGATTTTTTTTATATATATATATATTATAGCAATGAAAATATAATAAATAAAATTAGTTATATATATATATATTTCAAATCATTATCAATAAAAATCAAGATATCTAGATTTGGATTTGTTTTAGTGGACACCACATTTTACTATCCGAATCCGCCCCACCAGATATCCGGATATTCGAAGCGGATCGGATTTCAGATGGAATCTAGATCTCGGATAATAAATATGTGGCCTATCACCAATTCTCAGGCAAATCCCACAATGGAAGCTTCAAAAAATCTCAAGACACCCCCAAAGTTCATTAACGATGATGGTGTGAGCCAAGAATGTGAGAATCTGATCTCTTCTTTACCTTCAGAGAAAAATTTCACGGGAATAAAACTCTACAACTACCAAGGATCTTGGTACTATCCCAACACAGTCCAAGCAATCCTAAACTTCCAAAAACATTTCCGAGCACAAGACACCGATATCATCTTAGCTTCTTTACCCAAATCAGGAACCACCTGGCTCAAGGCTCTTGCATTCGCTGTCGTCCATAGAAACAAGTACGCTCCTAATCTTGTATCCCATCCTCTCCTCTCCGACAACCCCCACAACCTCGTTCAGTTTCTTGAAGCTGATTTATATGTTAAGAATCAACGTCCTGACCTCGAAGAGCTTCCAACGCCTAGGCTCTTTGCCACACACATGCCGTTTCAAACGATTCATGAGTCTCTAAGAGATTCTCCATGTAAGGTTGTTTACGTGTGTAGAAACATAAAAGATGTGTTGGTCTCTCATTGGCATTTCAGGAACAAGCTTGTTAGAAAAGACTTACATAGTAACTACTCGCTTGACGATACGGTTGACGAGTATATCAAAGGGGCGTACGCGTTTGGACCGTTTCAGGATCAAGTTTTAAGTTACTGGAAAGAGAGCTTGGTGAATCCGACTCATGTACTCTTCATGAGATATGAAGAAATGGTAGAGAAGCCTGAGGCTCAAGTTATGAGGCTCGCAAATTTCTTGGGTTGTTCGTTTACTGAAGAAGAAAAGCAAAGTGGAATGGTGGAAAAGATCTTGGAACTGTGTAGTATTGGTAACTTGAGTAACTTGGAGGCAAACAAGAGTGGGACATCTACTTGTGGAATTTCTCACCATGCGTTTTTTCGTAAAGGAGGAGTTGGTGACTGGAGGAATCATCTCACTGATGATATGGCAAGAAAACTGGATGAGATTGTTGAAAAGAAACTACAAGGTTCAGGGTTGAAGTTTGAGTGATGCAAGTTCACAAAGGATGATTGATATTCAATATAAAAATATGAAGATTGTATGAAAGCTAAGCTAATTTATAGTTTGGTTATCTTTTGGTGTGTTGTTTCTATTTTTAAAGATGATGGGTATATATATATATATATATTTATGATGTTTTGGTATTCAATAAAAATCTTGTTATGATAAAGACAGAAAACACTCATGAGTGAGATGATATTCAATAAAAATGGTGTTACTAGGACTGTAGGATGGAGCAATGACACTGAAGTTGAGTGATCCAATTAAGTTCGCAATTAATGTTAATCACACTAGCGGCAACTGATGGCTCGCTCCGTTCATGCCTCTCCCTCTGGTCCGTCATTGCTCCGTTCATGTTTCTATCCTCTTGTTTTCTAATCGTATTTTGGTTCTTTGTTTAGTTTCAGTTATGCATTTTCCGCTTCTTGTCATTTATGTAAACATTGTCTCAAATGAAAACTTGTAACAAAATATGACAAATTTACCAACAATAAATATAACTAGATCATGATCCGGGCATGTATTTTTCCGGATGTAGTCTATATAATTTAGTTTTATATAGTTTCGAATTTGTTCAATTCGATTTTATGCTTAAAATATAATATCAAAACTGTGTTTTTGTATTAATAGCATCAAGTGTTGTATTATGTAGATGTAACCCTGCCGTAAAAATACTAATTCTGTATATTTGTCTGAAGTGCAAAATCAAATTCAAACTTATATGTTTGCGTTAAAAAAAACTAAGTTAAGAGTTTAGTTACTTTTGATCTTAATAATTATCCAAACTTCTTAAAATAATATACAAATTTTTAGAATTTTTGGTCTTAACTTTTATTATAAGTTAGGTTAAATTCAAATTTAACTTAATCTTAATTTTGCAAGCACGAAATATTTTATGATGAAAAATTTCATAAATAACTTAACAGATATTTTGGTAAATAACTTATGTATTTTAAAACATTATTGCATTTAAATTTTTAAATTCAACCCGAACCGCTATTAAACCAGTGATCTAATAATTCAATTTTGATTTTTGAAAATATTCATATTTAAAAAAATCACTAAAATCTGAGACTAAGGGAATGAACCGATGGATAACTGGTTTATGTAATATTTAAACCTCTAAAAATATGTTTATTTTCGTTGTTTAATATATTATTTGAATTTCTTAATCTATCTAAATAATTTGGAAGAAAATTGTGAGAAATTATTAAAGAGTGAGATCTAATATTTTGTATTGTTTGGACATACGATTAATTATAATGTTGTTTGGAAACATGAATATTAGTATAAAGAAATGAATATATTGTTTGGACATAAGATTGATTATAGTGTTGTTTGGAAACATAGATAATAGTATAAGAAAATGAGTATATTGTTTTGAAACATTGATAGTACTATAAATAAATATATTATTTGGAAATATGAATAGTAATATAGATAAATGAATATTAGTGATTTAATTTAAGTTTAATTATAAAGTAGAAAGATGTATTTAATTTAAAAATTTACAAAATAAATGTTGAGATCTAACTTAATTTTAATAAGATAGATATAAATAGTTAGACAGCTAGTTGTAGTATGTAGTATAATTCTCTCTTTTTAACGACCATGTTGAACCATCGACATTTTGCCTATGTTACATGGAAACGGAAGCGGATACGCGGAAGTAGAATTGTATGGAAACGTAGAAGCGAGATTTATAAAAAAATTAGGAAGCGGAAACATGTTGGAAGCGTATATTTTATATGTATATATATACATATTAAAATATAAAAAAATTACAAATATGACTAGAAATTATTAGAGTCAAATTTAAAATAAAAAATTTATTCATTTATAATAATTTTAAATGATTTTATGTTAAAACCGTGAAAATATACATAAATCATTGATTTATAAGATATTATTATACTAATTATTTTTAATATTTTGTAAATAATTAACACAATCTATTTGAATATATCTTTAATAAATCCTCAATGCATAAACATAATTTTTATAATATTAGTTTTAATATTTGTATATTTTTATTCTCTATTTCACTATTATATAAAAATAAAAGTAATGTTTCTTACATTTTTATTTACTTATGACATTGAATCTTTTAAAACGGAAGCGTGATTCCAAAATGGAATCGTAAGCGTCCAATGTGTTTTCAAAAATATGTTCTCGGAAGCGCAATGAAATCGAGATTCCGAGAGATTCCACAAACTTCCGTTTCTGATTCTGGTTTCGAATCGAGAAGCGGACGTATGACGAAGCTTCACTGCAACCTAGCATTTTGCACGTTTTTATTCATTCCACTAGCTCAAAATGATGTTTAATGGTCTCACCAACTCCACTACTCAAACTAATAATAGATAGGAAGTGTATTTACTTTTTTTTTTTATTACTGTACCGTGTTTTGTTTTTATATGTTCGTTCGTCTATCTCATAGTAGTAATGTTTACTGGTCTCTCACCAACTCTCCATGACTCCAACTAATTACTAACTATCCGTTTGTATGCTCGTTCGTCTATCCACCCATGATTACACAAAAGACAAAGTTCTTCTCTACTTCCTTACTGATTCTCTTATAATGGAAATTTCACAAAATTTTCAGATTCCCCCAAAGTTCAGTGACGACGATGGTGTGAGTCAAGAATGTGAGAATCTGATCTCTTCTTTAGCTTCAGAGAAAAGTTTCACGGGAAAGAAACTCTACAACTACCAAGGATCTTGGTACCATCCCAACACACTCCAAGCAATACTAAACTTCCAAAAACATTTCCGAGCACAAAACACCGATATCATCTTAGCTTCTTTACCCAAATCAGGAACCACTTGGCTCAAGGCTCTTGTATTCGCCGTCGTCCACAGAAACAAGTACGCAGCTAATCTTATATCCCATCCTCTCCTCTCCAACAATCCCCACAACCTTGTCCAGTTTCTTGAACTTGATTTATATGTTAAGAACCAACGTCCTGACCTCGAAGAGCTTCCTTCGCCTAGGATTTTTGCTACCCACATGCTGTTTCAGACGCTTCATGAAACTCTAAGAGATTCCCCATGCAAGATTGTTCACGTGTGTAGGAATATAAAAGATGTGTTGGTCTCTCGTTGGCATTTCAGGAACAAGCTTGTTAGAAAAGACTTATATAGTAACTACTCGCTTGAGGATACAGTTGACGAGTATATCAAAGGGGCTTACGCGTTTGGACCGTTTCAGGATCACGTTTTAAGTTATTGGAAAGAGAGTTTGATGAGGTCTAATCAGTTGCTCTTCATGAGGTATGAAGAAATGGTAGAGAAGCCTGAGGCTCAAGTTATGAGGCTCGCAGATTTCTTGGGTTGTTCGTTTACTGAAGAGGAAAAGCAAAGTGGAACGGTGGAGAAGATCTTGGAACTGTGTAGTATTGGTAACTTGAGTAACTTGGAGGCAAACAAGAGTGGGACATCTAGTTGTGGAATTGCTCACCAAGCGTTTTTTCGTAAAGGAGGAGTCGGTGACTGGAAGAATCATCTCACTGATGATATGGCAAGAAAACTCGATGAGATGGTTGAAAAGAAACTAGAAGGTTCAGGGTTGAAGTTTGAGTGATGCAAGTTCACAAGGATGTTTGATATTCAATATAAAAATCTTAAGATTGTATGAAAGCTAAGGTAATTTATAGTTTGGTTATCTTTTGGTGTGTTGTTTTTATTCTTGAAGATGATGGGTAAACTTAGAAATTTTAAATATTTTTTCTTAGATTTGGAGATTTTTTAAAATTTTGTTTGAAACTTATTAGTATTGTTAATTTTTTTTTTTTTGGCATCTTATTAGTATTGTTAATTAAAATAAACAAAGTTTGGTTATTAAAATGGGCACAATTATAAAAGTTTGTATATTAAAGTGGACAAAATTATTAGTTGAGGTATTAAATTGGGTAGTGAAAAAATTTGGGTATTAAAAAGCTTTATAAAATTTAGTTGGGGTATTTATATGGAATTTTCCCATATATTTATAGTTTTTAATGTTGAGATTTTTCATTTTGTATGTTATTTTGAATTTTGTGTTTTAATGCATTTATAAGGTATTTTCTAAATTTGAGATCAAAATAAACTGTGGAGACACAAACCAAAAACAGAGAGGCATTTTTCAAACCAATTTGTTTTTTTTTTCTCTTTGATAATATTAAAATTAGAGTCTAATTGAAAATAAAATTGAAATGTGTATTAAAATCAAATATAAATAGCTAGACAGCTAGTTGTAATCTGTAGTATAATTCTCTCTTTCTAACCATCACATTGAACCATCAACAACTTGCATTTTTTTATCCATTCCACTATCCCAAAATAATGTTTACTGGTCTCACCAACTCCATTACTCAAACAAACAATTAGTGAAGTGTATTCAATTATTTTTTTTTATTCTATCGTGTTTTGTTTTTATATGTTCATCCGCCTATCCCATAGTAATGTTTACTGGTCTCAACAACTCTCCGTGACTCCAACTAATTACATGTGAAATGTATTGAATTATTATTTTATTGTACCATGTTATCGTTTTATATGCTTGTTTGTCTATCCATCCATGATTATACAAACACAAAGTCCTCTAAACTTTCTCATATAATGGAAGCTTCACAAAATCTTCAGACACCCCCAAAGTTCATTAACGATGATAGTGTGAGCCAAGAATGTGAGAACCTGATCTCTTCTTTACATTCAGAGAAAGATTCCACTGGAAAAACACTCTACAACTACCAAGGATCTTGGTACTATCCCAACACAGTCCAAGCAATCCTAAACTTTCAAAAACATTTCCGAGCACGAGACAACGATATCATCCTAGCTTCTTTCCCTAAATCAGGAACCACTTGGCTCAAGGCTCTAACATTCGCCGTCGTCCATAGAAACAAGTATGCAACTAATCTTGTGTCTCATCCTCTCCTCTCCGACAATCCCCATAACCTCGTCCGGTTTCTTGAAGCTGATTTATATGTTAACAATCAACGTCCTGACCTGGAAGAGCTTCCTTCTCCTAGGCTCTTTGCAACCCACATGCCGTTTCAAACGCTTCATGATTCTTTAAGAGATTCACCTTGCAAGGTGGTTTACGTGTGTAGGGACATAAAAGATGTGTTGGTCTCTCGTTGGCATTTCATAAGCAAACTTGTTAAAAAGGAGTTAAATTGTAACTACCCGCTTGAAGAGACGTTTGAAAAATTTATTAAAGGGGCTTACAGCTTTGGACCGTTTCAGGATCAAGTCTTAAGTTATTTTAAAGAGAGCTTGGTGAATTCGAATCCGGTACTCTTCATGAGGTATGAAGAAATGATAGAGAAGCCTGAGGCTCAAGTTATGAGGCTTGCAGATTTCTTAGGTTGTTCGTTTACTGAAGAAGAAAAGCAAAGTGGGACGGTGGAGAAGATCTTGGAACTGTGTAGTCTTGGTAACTTGAGTAACTTGGAGGTTAACAAGATGGGGACATCTACTTGTGGAATTGCTCACCAAGCGTTTTTTCGTAAAGGAGGAGTTGGTGACTGGAAGAATCATCTTACTGATGATATGGCAAGAAAACTGGATGAGATGGTCAAAAAGAAACTAGAAGGTTCAGGGTTGAAGTTTGAGTGATCTAAGGTGGTAATCTTTGATATTCAATAAAAAAATATTGTTATGATGAAGAATTTATGAAAGATAAGCTTATTTTACAGTTTGCTTATCTTTTGGTGTGTTGTTTTTTTTCTTAAATATATTGGAAAAGATTTTCTTTTGTTTTCCTTTTTACATGTACACAATACACCTAAACAAAGTTAAAAAAAAACAAATACACCTAAACCGGCATGAAAACCTATTATTTGAACTTATGAAGCAGTATTCATATTTGTTAAGAATTTGAAGAAAAGACATCTGTTAGAGATTTTTTATAAAACAAGAGAATGACTTATTTCCCACCCACACTAAAATAAATAAATTCAGAGTTTATGATTTTTTGCTTCTTTCGCTAAATTTTTATCATCTAAAATAAAATCAAAACCGGCAGTTTCCAAAGACACAAAACCAAAAGGAAACATAGTTCTAAAAAGGATGGAGAGACTAACTAAAACTGATGCATGAGATACATTAACACACAATAAAACCAATATAAAACTTCAAGAATAATTGAAACTCTTATAGACGAGCCTCTAATTTGATCATTGTCCAATTTAATTTGATTCCTTGAAAACGATCACATTAGAGTTTAGTTGAAAATAAAAATGAAAGGCATGTGAAAATTAGTATATAAATAGCTTAGACAGCTTTTGTAGTATTTATTTATAATCCTCTCTTTGTAACGACCACGTTGAACCATTGACATCTTACACTTTATTTATTCATCACACTACCCAATAATGATTCCTCGTATCACCAACTCTCCATGTCTCAAATTAAGTAATAGTAGATGTTAGCTGTGTTCGTTTTATGTGTCCATTTGTCTATCCCAAAATAATGTTAACTGGTCTCACCAACTCTCTATGACTCCAACAAAAATTAATAATGCATGTGAAATATATTATCGAATTATTTTTAGTATCATGTTACCGTTTTATATGATCGCTCCTCTATCACCTTCTGATTATACAAAGGCAAAGTCTTCTATAGTTTCTTACCGTTTCTCCTATTATGGAAGCTTCACAAAATCTTCTCCAAACACCCCAAAATTTCATGAAGGACGATGATGTGAGCCAAGAATGTGAGAATCTGATCTCTTCTTTACCTTCAGAGAAAGATTTCATGGGACGTAATCTCTATAACTACCAAGGATCTTGGTACTATCCCAGCAGACTCCAAGCAATCCTAAACTTCCAAAAGGATTTCAAAGCACGGGACACTGATATCATCCTAGCTTCTTTCCCCAAATCAGGAACCACCTGGCTCAAGGCTCTTGCATTTGCCGTCGTCCATAGAAACAAGTACGCTCCTAATCTTGTATCCCATCCTCTCCTCTCCAACAATCCACACAACCTCGTTCGGTTTCTTGAACTTGATTTATATGTTAAGGACCAACGTCCTGACCTCGAAGAGATTCCTTCTCCTAAGATTTTTGCAACCCACATGCCGTTTCAAACGCTTCATGAGACTCTAAGGGATTCTCCATGCAAAGTTGTTTACGTGTGTAGGAACATAAAAGATGTGTTGGTCTCTCGTTGGCATTTCAGGAGCAAGGTTAGAAACGAGTTATATAGCAACTACTCACTTGAAGATATGGTTGACGAGTTTATCAAAGGGGATTACGCGTTCGGACCGTTTGATAATCAAGTCTTAAGTTACTGGAAAGTGAGCTTGGTGAGTTCGAAACCGGTACTCTTCATGAAATATGAAGAAATGATAGAGAAGCCTGAGGCTCAAGTTATGAGGCTCGCAGATTTCTTGGGTTGTTCGTTTACTGAAGAAGAAAAGCAAAGTGGAATGGTGGAGAAGATCTTGGAACTGTGTAGTTTTGGTAACTTGAGTAACTTGGAAACCAACAAGACTGGGACATCTGCTTTTGGAATTGCTCCCCATGCGTTTTTTCGTAAAGGAGGAGTTGGTGACTGGAAGAATCATCTCTCTGATGATATGGCAAGAAAACTCGATGAGATGGTCGAAAAGAAACTACGAGGTTCAGGGTTGAAGTTTGAGTGATCGAAGTTTGTTTGATGTTTGATATTCAATAAAAGTCTTGAATGATAAAGATTCTAAGAAAGCTAAGCTCATTTACAGTTTGGTTATCTTTTGGTGTGCTATTTTTCAAATAAAATAACTTTTTATTTAATTTACCATATGTACATTAGAAATTTTTATCTTTTACTAACTTTATTAGGGACTTGGATTTAATCATAATATATTTTGGAGTTTGGGGTACCAAATGGAATGTAGATCTTAACATCAAGCTCAGTGTTTTGAAAACCGGACTGGCTAGCGAACTAGAAATATTTTTTGGTCAACATAATATTTTTGTATTTATGCATAGCTGCATCTAGCACTTATATATGATGAATATCAAAGAGTTTTAATCCATGAGTTGTCCAAATTTCTTAAGAGAATAGAGATTTCATAGCTGTATAGTTGTATCAACACTGATATATGATGATTATATCAATGAGTTTTAATTCATGAGTTGTCCAAATTTCTCTAGAGAATAGAGATTTCACAAGTGCATGATTGCATCCAACACTCATATTTAAAAACTATAATTTTATAAAAATACAAATAATGAAGAAAAAATACATGTGCAATTTACCAAAAAAAACATGTTAATGGAGAAGATCTCTTAACATTGCCGTATAATCATATTTTGACTATACATATATTTTCACATGGCTTCAAATAAACTATGAATGTCATACTCATCATTATGATTTTCCTTATTAGTTTAGTAAATGATTAATTTTAAATGTGTTTTTAATTAGCTTTTTTAATTGTATGTGTTCAAAAAGAAAATTTATGTGTTCAAAAATATATATATATATATATTAAATTGTATTTATAATTTAAATACCTCACAAAATAATAATACAGTATATATATATATATATATAAATTAGTATTGGCATATTAAATTGTATTATAATCTGAAATTATAAAATCAATATAAAATTTTAGTAGCATATATAAATGATTATAGACACATGTATTCTACATTATACACATGTTACAAGGAATTCGTTCAAAAAATAAACATTATTTTTATAAAAAATATAAATTATACACTATGATATATTTATTTTTATAAAATGAGTCTCGTATGACATCGCACGGATTACTTATATAGTTCTTAAAAAGAAAGATTATATCAAATAAAATGTTTTCATAACCATAATATTTAGAAAAACTTTATAATAACAAATTGAAAATATAATAAAATAATTCAGTAGTTCAAATCTAAATTCAATAAGAAAAAACACATTTAAAGTTTATTCACCGGATCTTTATCATTCTAAATATTCATCACCTTTTAAAAAATTATATACACATTAGTTAAAGAAATTATATACTCGAAACTCAACAGAAGACGACATAATTTTATTAATCTGACAACCCCTATTTTTACTTTAAAAAGAAAAAGTTGTTTGGTTTATTAATAAAAGTCTGGTTTATATATGAACCAGGGTTTAACCGGTTCATTGGATCGTCGATTCCTGGGGTTTTAACGGTTCAATATGAATTTTAACCGGTTTAATTTAGTTGGTTTTGGCATTAATCCAACCTGGATTAGTGTCTGGTTCGCATTTGAACCTGATTCGATCGCCGGTTCGGTCCGGGTTTTAAAAACACTGTCAAGCTCATATTACTCTTTCTTGTCAACTTATTTTCGGCTCTTTAAAACCATTCGGACCCATTATGAGAGCCCAATGCGAATAATGGTTACTCTCAACGTCATCGTCTTCCGTTCCCATGCATAAGGTGGGAGACAGTTTTACTTTAGTATTTGAAGAAGATAAGTATGGCAATGAGGGTGAAAAAGAGATTTGAATAAAACATTAAAAAGAACAATAGATGTTGTAAACTATTACTAGAGAAATCAAGGAAAGCCAGCAGAATTCGTTGAAACTACTAGAGAATTAAGTATTACAACACTTGATACCAAAATATTTGATCTTCTTTTGTCTTCTGGAGCAGTTCACTCAAGTCGACATGTCTTGGAATTGCCATGGATTAAATGGGATTGCCTTAGGGTCGGTGTTATCTTCAGATTTATCAGCAGCTTCCCTGTGTTCTAAGTACTTTCCATTGAACTGGTAAACTTCGAGATCTCCCCATGGTGTAGGAGTGACTTCCTCTGTTATATCAAACCACTTTGGAGTAAAGCTTTGGCCTTTCTCTTCGCGGGTTCTCTTTTCAGCTCTCTGCCTCTCTTCCATGCTGTGTAGCAAGATGTGGGGATGAGGATTAGCTTTTATTTCAATTTCAGATTCTTAAGGATAAGTTTTTGTAACCATACCTGCTCTTCTCATAGCCGGATTTGGACATGTCACCCATCTCAAGTGCGTATCTATCAGGGCGTAACCTTGAATCAGATGGTAAGAGCTTCTTTGGAGCAGTGTCAAAGCTATTGATCTTGTGAGCAAAGTGTGTGTATTGGTACTTGTCCTCCTTTGGAACATCAGCGAGTTTCCAGACCTGTGAACAAAAGACAGGATTAGAAATGTCATTTAAAATGTGCATCTTAGTAAGAGAATTCACCAACCTCCTTTAGTTCAGTGCCTGGGAGAGGTTCACCTTCACCATCACACTGCTGGTAACTCATGGACTCGTTCCATTTACCAGTCATGAGTATCTTTGGCTCCTCAGAGGCGTTATAGACGTATCCGTCCACTTCATATCGACCAGATCTGTTCAGACCATGAATGAACATGTCTTAACTTAAAATGGAAAGAAAAAAATAAAGGAAGATGAGGTTAAAGTGAAGGAAATTTACCCAAACCAACCACATGGTTGGAAGTAAAGCACGACTTTGTCACCAGTGGTGAGGTTGGTCATGATCATTTCCCCAGGAGAATCAACCCAAGTTCGTCCAAAGATTAGGTTGTGAACTTTGGTCAGTGGAGGTACCAAGTCAAGAACCACTCCATCTCTTTTAAGTGTCACCCGTGTCCTGCACCAAAGATTCATCACATTTAAGGTTCAGGATAAAGAATGTTAACTCAGCAACGCATGCTATAGTTTTGCAAAATTACCTTCCTACTGGGTAAACGTCAATGGAATTGCCAAGAAACTTAGTTTTCAGTTTTGAAGTACAATCATAAGTAAAATGCTCATTTTCAGCATGACCTGCACTCATTGGCGGGTGATGGCTAACCTGAAAAACAAGACACTATTGGTGTCAACAATCTGAAGAGAAGTTGGCAGCTAAGAGAACTAGAGATTGAGTTCTAAAAAGAAATGGCTGTGACCTGTTCAGATATGAAGTTGACACCATTGTAATTAGCCATCTCATAAGTCTCTCCTAGGATAGGATTGAACGGTTTCCAGGTACGTTGGAAAGCATAGTACACAGATATAGCCCACGATGCTGTTAAAGATACACGATTCAGAAACTACATGAAAAAATACTGATCATAGCAGAAACCAAGGAAGGGAAGAGAAGTGCTTACAGGCATACACCATGCGCATATAAGGATCCTCTGTTTCATCAGCCATGTCTAGTAAATGCGAGTATTCCATCAACTATCAAAAACAAAGCACTTTATAATCAAAATTTCAAAACCTTTCAGACAAGAACAAAAACATAAGATGCTGTCGTAACGAACACAAACCTCTGCCATTTTCTGAAGCATTGTCATTGGCTCAAAAATAATAACAGGAAGAGTCACCATCGATGTAACATCAGATCCAATATACTTCTGCATCATCTTCCAATACCCATCACGATCCTCTTGCTTCCATCTTCCTCTGTTCGCTTCCTCTGCTGCATCCTCTGTACTCCCTTCAGGGTTAATAACCTCAAGTCCCTCATACCCAACCAATCTGAGAAGCAAAAATCAAAACCCATTAAGCTTAAAGCAATAAAGATTTAATCTTTAAGCAAACCCAATATTTGAATTAAGCAGGAATACAATAAAGTTATCGACTTTAGACGAAGATCTGAAACAGAGGATCCACCAAATCACAAAAAAATGAATTTACGAATCTCAAAAAGCCTTACCCGTTAACTGATTTGGTCATGGCTGATCCCAAGCTTGAGATCGAGGAAGCAATAGACGCGAAGAAACCGCCGCCACCGCCATTTTTAGGATCGTTAGGAGCCATATCTCTGCCGAGGACAACGAGCTCCGGCGATAAATAATCGAGAGAGAGGCGTTGTTGGGTTGTGTTTATGAAGGAAGAGGAAAAGGGGAAAGAGATTCGTCAATAATGGAAGAAACAGCGATGGAGAGACGATGATGCAGAGGATTTTTGGATCGTGTGCTGGACCTGCGTTGGCACTGTTTCAATTTTTAACATGATTAAACCGGCTCTGATTCGAATTAAATTAAAAGTAAACCGAACCGGTTTGATTAAAGTAGTCGTCTTGTTGGTTATCGCCTTTTCGGTTTAGCATAAACGAAGCATATCTTTCTATAAACCGGAGCTCAAACAGATTCTTGGAGCAAACCGGGAAGTGTTTAAGAGGTATTCGTCATTGATGGCGTCACCATCATGCATGCTCTTTCAAAACTCGCTCGGTGTTTTTTTTTTTTTTTTTTTTATATACGTGATGCTGTAGAATAGACTGGATATAACATTGTCTGACTCAAATTTAGAATTCTTCGGACTAATGTGAAAATACCTGGATTATCATGTAAACTGGATCAAAACTCAAATCAAATTGGTCAAGTAAAAGCAGATTTTCAATGAAAATCAAATCTAGGATAGATGGATTTATGTTATATCTCAAGTTTTTTACCACTAGGTTATGAGCTACCACTATTTGGTTGCTCGTGGTCTCTTTCTCATTTATGATCATTGATCATGCATGTTTCTGTATTTCACTGGATTTTTTGACAACTTCGTATACATGTATATATCTTGCTTTGCGATCTGAATGATCCGGCGGATACCTTTTCATATTTAACCAAGTGGTGGTAGTCTATTGGCAATCTTTTAGGGTTTGATGTGTACTTATATTAGCTCTGGATTCGATTCTCTTTAGAAACTAAATT